TGGTAGAATTGGATGACAGATGGGAGAAGATCTAAAGTTTTACTTGTCAAAGGGTCTCATCAACTAGATCAAAGCCATCTGATTGAACCAGATAAATGGGGAATCTTGCCATTAATATCTATAAGCCCTTCCTTAATTGTAGAACTAGAAAGAGGAGGCAGAGGCAGGATTAGAACAAACTACACATATGCCAAAATTATATAATAATTTGCACCTTAAAAATGCTCACTGTGCTTTTGAAGCCCTGTCTTATCAGCAAAAGGAGAATAGTTTTGCATTGATATGAACAGCAATCAGAAGCTACAAATCATATTTGCAAGATTTAGTTGGAAATGAAACTTATTTTGCTATTAGTTTGAATAAAATGCACCAAAAAAATAGAACGATGCTTTTGCATTATTTCAATCAAATCCTTTGAATCCTTAAGTATATCAAATAACATACTTAAAACATTTATTTTGTATCATTGTTCTCATCGGTTGTTCATTAATATTTGCCTTGTTGAGACTTTTCCAACATTGCATCCCTTCCAATGTGATGAGGCTATATTCTGGTAATTAAAATCCCAATGAACATAAAGAATATCACATTGAAAAGCTCATCTTAACATTTTTAAATTTTCTTTTAAGAAGCATTAATGCTGTTGTTACCAGTACTGCACAAATTTAGTCTGAAACAAATTCTTCTGAATTTTATTAGAAGCCTCTACAAACTTGAAACTTTGATAATCCATCAATTGATAAAGGGTTTTTTTCGGTCTCAATATCATCTGGGTTTTTTTGAACATGCAAATACAGGTAGCAATAGCAAATCATGATTTTAAAATACAATATTTCATAACACAATAAGTCAATACAGAGAATTTCTTTAAAGCCAAGGATGGAACTATCTTCAAAAACATAGATATTAAATTCTACTACTTGCTCACTCTAAGCTTGAATGCTTTGAATCATAAAGAACAAAATAACACTGAACACTCAGAACAAAACAAACGGGATGACAAAACAAACTCAGTTTACGTTTTTTCTAACCAATTCTCATTAAAACCCTATGCTGGCAATCAATTACAGAATTCCCGTAATGATGTAATGTGTTTTACTGCTCATGCGCAACATTAGGCGAAATGTCAAGAAAAAACTACTGATGTGCTGGTTTTTTGGTGATGCATTTGCAGGAACATGTTTCCTGTAGTATGCCTCACATAAGTAGTCTTCTTACCTCTCCTATCCTGCACTTTTATTTGCTGATGTGGAAGGAAAGACAACATATCACTTGTCGTACAACTTCCTCTTCTGTTAACTGATGCATATTAAATGAATATATTTCTTCAGGATTCAGATAATGCTTAAGATAGTTGCCCTGAACTGCTAACTTGAACAATTGGGTGGAAGAAAACATGGTCCCCTGGGAAGGTGTGGCTCAATTAGCTCAATTCCATACCATGACCTTTTCATGAGCAAGAATATAAATGTATAAAGCTACATACAGCAGCTGCTCATATTTTTTTTTGCCCCTGATACCTATGTGAGTCTCATTTCACTGGGGAGGGATTACATGTGAAGTAAAGGGCAACCATCAGATTGAAAATTAGATATTTCAACAGAAGATGGTTCATAGCAGGATTTAATAATTACATGGTTAATAAACTCGGTTAAGACTTTCATTCAAATGAATTGAATGATCACTTCTATATCTAATGAGCTACAATGCAAAGAATATATGCTGATCATATCTGTTCTTCAATCTGCCTTTGCTAAGAGATTTGAAGAGATTGGAAATTCTCTGAGATGAACTCAGATTTCAGATAATCTACAGTTCTATGAAAAAGCATTAATCATTTTTCAGATTTTTGGGAAAGTTTGCAGTCTTTTTCCAAAGGTGGAACATATATACACACACAAAATGCCCAAAAGATGGCAAAACCTCTTTCTTAAAATTATATATTATATTGTGGGCATATTCTCAGTAAATAAAAATGTTTTAGTTTCCCAAGTTATTACTTTTAATATATGTATCAGCATATTAGCACAAATATATGCAATATTTTTCTGTGCATATTAAAAGGACATATTTTGCTTTTAATACAAAATCTTGATTTAGTTTTAGAATGTGGCTAAATAATACATTCTCCATATTACAGCAAACCAGCATTATAAAATCAATACCGAACAACAATAGTTGTACATTCAAATCAGATATCATAAATTATGTATGTAATGTATGGACTACAAATGAGATGGTCCTATGACCTTCAGCTGTTTTTTAAAATTATTCTTATCGTTAAAAGTAAATAGTGAATGTGACAATACACTATAGTATCTCCCAATTTTGGGATGTAAAACAGTAGTATGTTGCCCTGAAAAGCAATCTTCAGAATAGAGAATCTAGTTGAAACAGAACAATATAAAACTGGGTTAAGGGTGGGTTCATGGCATTCTGCCAAAATAAGCACAAACTGACTAGTATTGAATTTTTATAATGCTATGTGGGGGAACAGCTGGCAATCTAATCTACTCTTGATCTCACTAAAAACCATGATGTGAAACCTTGATTAACTAGAGCCATAAAGGGAAGAGGAAGGTTAGTGTTCACGGGTCATTTGTTGACGTCAATGACATATGGGCTTGTACGCTAAGAGGAGTATTATAGCAAAGAGCATAAATTAATGAATGAAATCTTTTTAAAAATAGATACGGTGTGCACTTGTGAAACTGAGAGAAAGAGAAAGGATGGAATAAATCTGAATGAATATGATCTGATCTTGTTGAGTTGACTTGGTGAAAACAATCATGGAAGTTTAAAATTGAATGAAAAGATCTGTCAAAAAGTATAAGCACTAAATTTGGGGGCTCATCAAGTATTCCTAGCTCACAGATTAGTCATAGTTGTATGTTACTGTGGAATGGGGCTAATGAAAGTAGAAGCGATGTGTCAGGCCTATTCTAGTTTGGGCATTTAGGAAAGAGATTTGACTCCATTTGTAGCAAAGGGTATACTTTTACTAAAGCCAAATGGTTACAATGTAAGCAAAGCCAGATATGAATATTCCAAAGTAAATCCAGTGCTTTTCCCTTCTCCTGAGCCCTTTCCTTTGGTCCTTCCATAAATGCCAAATTATATTCAAACTAGGGGTTTTGGTAACAGTCCTAAAATTTGGTGTCTTTTGGTTGGTGTTTGCATTCCATTCTCATGCTTATGTCCTTGGATCTGCCAGTCTCTGTTCCAGGCTGGCACCTCTGGTTCCTCTCACTCTGTCATCCCCCCTCTCTATATCTCTTTACTCCTTCCTCCCCCCCTTCTGATAGCATATGACAGGATGAGTTTTGGGGGATGAATGTAATGTGGAAATGGTTATTATTCTTTTATCTGACATGGATAGATAAATTGATGGAAATGAGATGAGAGGATACCGGAAGAATGATTAGGCTCTTCAGAGACCAAAGATTGTTGAATATTTACTTTGAAGTTTATTTCAAATACATAGTTTAAATGTAAATCTGTTCATGTCTCCATCAGCATTTTTTACTTACTGTTTGTAATCAAATGTTGAGAAAATTGTTGAAGAATATTAGAGACTATGACGGTGAGACAGACATTATTTGGTAGTATCAAGAATGGATCATGGAAAAATAGATATGAAAGAAAAGGGAAAAAAATCAAAGAAAAAAGAGCAGACATAGAATGATCAGAGTAAGGGAACATAGGCATCCTATATGAAAAAAAAGATCTCCCTATAAGATGACTAAAAATATAGAAAAATTATGTGGAAACCATTTGGATGAAAAGAATTATGTTATAGAGTGCCACAAAAATATGTGGGTTATGCTAATGACATATTATTGGGTAGAATGATAAAATAAAAGAGCCGATGTATCAGAAAAAATTGCTTCCAAGAATGTGGATGAATTATAGTATTTACTGTGTTTAGACAGAAAAAGCTAACTGTAAATCTTCAAGAGCTTAATGGAAATTAAATATTAAAATAAATGTTGTTTCAAGATTTATATAAATTCTTAGAGGATTTGTATAATAATTTGTGAAACCACAACAGATGCTGAGAAAATGTTTAAAGGGTCATCAGATATATTTGGAATATATTGAGGAAAAATGAAATTTTCAAGTAAATTTTCATTAGAAAATTTTATAGAATAATTCAGTTGTTAAGATTTTAGTAAATCTTTTTATGGATTCATTGGTAAATTATTTTATACCAACTTATTACTAACCTGTTGGATATAATGGTTGAGCTCCTCAAAAAGACAGATGAGAATTTTAAGTAGAAAAGGCAGAGTATTAATTTTTGTTTAGATACAGAAGGATGGCATCAAAAAAGAAAAATATGAATGATCTTCAGGTAAACCAGAGATAGTTTACACATTTGACATTTTATATTTTGCTTTTAATCTTTTTTTTTCTTAACTACATTTATTTACTTCAAAAATTCATCCACCATCCAGTCAATAGATTTTAGACAGCTTACAATATAAGAAAACCATTAAAAAACACCATATTTTCTCAAACCTCATGCATCATGCCACTCTACCTACCCCAAAAGATGCCTCTAATTTACTGACATCTTTGATCTCAAGACTTACTAAAAGAGAGCCATTTTCACTTCTTACAATTCTTCACTTTTTATAATACTACAGTACTTTCTCCAACAGCATGATGTATGTTTGTATTCAAAGAAAAAATCCACAGTGATTTTATATCAAAATGCAAACCATCTGCTTGATCTGAATACACACAGGGTGGAAAACATTTTTTCCCCATCAAGTTTGGCAGGAAAAGGAAGACAGTGTATTTGTGAAATTATCAAAATGTACCTTCAATTTCAGCCACTTGGTTTGTTAATTTGTAACATAAGCTGATTAGTGTATGAATTAAACTAAATAAAATATGTTGTTGCCATGCCATACATCACTTATAAAATAGTGATATCCTAAAAAAAGGGATCACATGGAGCTAAAATTTTCTTCTGTCCAATGGAATCAACATACCTCTTGGTTTCAGATATGGGTTTTCCTGTCTCTTGGTCAGACTGCTTTATCTCAGTAGAGAATTCAGGAACCAATGTTCCTAAGTCAAGAAGAGATGCAATTGTGCTATCAGTCCGCTGGCTATCACAAAGCTGGGAAGTACTGCAAAATAATGGACATTTATTAAAAAAACTAATATTAGTAAAGCACAAGAACTGCACATATGTTTTACACTGTAGTCAGAGACTAGATTAACTGCACATTTATCTCATGCTTGGCTCCTAGTGGGAAATCTAGTCTTAGCCCACTTGAAATTAAACAGATGTATAGACTTGACCCAGAAATTTCAGAAGAGCTCAATGTATGAGATCATTTTTAAAAACCCAAATAGGAATCCAACTGTTTGACAATTGCATTCTAAGCTTCTATTGCATAGAGTAAATCAAATTTACAATAAAGTACAGTTAAAAAATAGACACATAAATTAATGCTCATAATTAGCAACACACATACCCACACAAATATTCAGCATTACTAAGACATATAAAAATAACAGAACGTTGAAACAGCAGAAATCCAACATCAAAAGGTATCCAATACATTTTTGAAAGATGTTTGAGTGAAGAAGATAGGGCTTTGCTTAATCTGACCAAGAAAAGAATAAGGGCTGTGTCATTAGTACCTGCCAAACAAATACCCATTATGAATCTGTAAGAAAACCAATTATCTAAAAGTGATTTTTAAGCCTGGCAGAATGATATGAAAACCATTAGATATGGATTTGGGGGATCATTTAAAAACTAGTGCTAGCATATTGCATTGAGCTCAGAAATAAACTGATGACCAAACGAAATAGTGCATTAATATCTAAGCCATTCTAACCATTCTTGTCTTAAACATCTGGTGACTGCATGTTGTATCAAGAGGATCTGAGGGATCATTAACGTTATACAGCATTCCACTCAGGATATCATTAATGTAACAGTAATGAAACTTCATCGAATCTTCATCAAATAGTTGAACAGGTAAAGCTTATAAAGGATGCTTCTAATACCAATTGGACATGCAAAGGCATCATAACATTTGGAATCTCTTCTAACTGCATATTTCTTTATTCAGTAGAGATGTTTCATCATCTAAGGGTTCCTGTACACCACAACCTAAATCACAGGACTTTGAATCAATAACACCTACTTTTTCTATGCATCGTCCAGACCACAATAGCATTCACACACAGTGTAAAAACACGGGCAGGACACTCTATGGATGACAATTTGAGAACTTCCCCAAGGACTAAATGATTACAGCAGGCAGAAACCGTGTAATATACCTATGTAGAACCTGAATTTTTTAATGAAGTTTTCCTCTGAAAAGATTGCCACTTCCACAATCTTTCCTAAAAGTAAACTCTAGCATCAGTTTAGCAATGTTTTTCACTAGCTGAATTCTAATTCTAGCACTATCCTCAACATTTCAGTATTCCAAGAATTTTAATTAATATATTTGGAGAAAATGGTCTTTGGCAGTAATAATATGGATCATTTTAGGACAAGTCATTTTGGAGAGTGTTTGCCAGACATATCAATAGGAATAATCTCAACCATCAGCTGACATTAGAAGGCAAAAGTGTTCCAGGAAGATAATCATGAGCCTTCTACACTTTATTTTTATTTATTTTGTCAAAAGCTTACAATACAATAGAAATAAGAATAAACATAGTTTAAATGTAAGAAATAGGAACTAATAATTGGGGACAATAGGACAGGAACGGTAGGCACGATTGTGCGCTTATGCACACCCCTTACAGACCTCTTAGGAATGGGGTGAGGTCAATAGAGGTTACTTTGAGGGCAAAGGAGTGGGGGTTTGAGCAGGTGACAACAGAATCAGGTAGTGAGTTCCAGATATTGACCACTCTGTTGCTAAAATCGTATTTCGTGCAATCAAGTTTGGAATGGTTTACATTAAGTTTATATCTGTTGTGTGCTCTTGTGTTGTTGTGGTTAAAGCTGAAATATTCATTAACTGGTAAGACGCTGTAACATGATTTTATGTACTATGCTTAAGTCCAAACTTAGCCGGCGTAGTTCAAGGTTGTCTAAGCCTTGTCAAGTCTGGTGGTGTAGACTGTTGCGAACAGAGGAATGTAGTACTCTTCTGGTAAAATACTTCTGGACTCGCTCAATTGTATTTATGTCTGATATACAGTGCAGATTCCAGACAGCAGAGCTGAATTCAAGCATTGGTCTAGCATTTGCAAAGATTAGAACCTTTCAGCAACCCAAACAAAGATAACTCTTTTTCCACCAAAAATATTGAATTAGAGGGATGTTATAAAAGATCATATGAAGATACTGATGCCTGAAATATTGACTTAAATTGCTTGATTTCAGCTATATTTTTTAGGAAATTACAAGTTTTCAGATTACAGTATATTGGTGAACTTGGAGTACCACATTAAACATTGTCTGTAACCAAGCTTGCATATTCAGCATACAGTTCTAAAATATGAAAATAGGCTGTACAATAATTACTGAGCAGATGAATGAACAGAGGAAAATATGTGTAAGTTTGTTATAGGAGTGCCCTCTATTGATCAGAGATAAAATAACTCCTTGATAATACAGCAGCGGTCCCTCTTTGAGGGAGATGTTCAGAAATTTGGAAAATAAAATAAAATACATTGACTACTGGGATACTTACAAAAAGCTGAATGGGGATGGGATGAATGAACACACAAGCCATCATTCATAATCTCCCACTGTTGTTAAAGCAAGCACTTTTGAGTGGAAATATGCTAAGTAGGATATTAATGCTTCAGGATCTATTGTAGCAGTAAAAAAGAACTGCAATAGGTTAAAGACTAAATATAGAGTTTCCTGGATATGTTTAGGCAAACTTCTCTCTACTTTTAATTATACATCGGTTAGGAATTTGAATCAGAAAAGAGGTCGCAAAATAGAACTTGGTTTGTCAGTATAGAAGGTATATGCTCTGGAATAAGTATACACTTCATAATTTTCATAGCATTTACAGCAATACCAAGCACTACACCGGTACATAATTAGCACATTATATATTAGTTCAATGTAAGAATAAAATGTGTGATTTTTTTTCCTCTATTAATTCAACATCTTATACCACTAAGCCTATGCAAATTCTCTAAATCAATGTTTCTCAACCCCAGCAACTTAAGATGTATGGACAGGCACGCTGGCTGCAGAATTCTAGGATCTGAAGGCCACACATCTTCAAATTGCCATGGTTAGAGACATTTTCCTACACTAGTCCATTAGTAAAAGTCTGTTTAGTTTCAGTATGCTGAATCTTAGATCTGTAACTGTATATTCAGAGCCTTCTTTACGAAGGAAGTTCACCGAAACCATGCAAAGTAGGTTGTGTTATTGCAGCAACACAGAAGTCTTACTCATGTAAGAACATTGACTTCCTAAATATAGGTCTGCCTCTGGATTTATAGCTAAATTTCTCCTATCTTTCAAAGATCAGAATAAATTGGACCAGTCTTTCCACAGCCTTAAAACTCAGGGACATCTGTTCACTATCGTATTTAAGTTCTATCCATTCTAAGAACATTTAGATTGTTAACAAACGATGATAAAATATTTTGCACAGAATAACCGAATAAGGAGTTTTGTATCTTAGTCCTAATCTTTTGAATTAGCCACAGTGGTTTAGATTCATGTAACATGCTAAATTAAGACTGCAATGAATGAAAACACATAAAACTTCAAGTAAGTCAAACAAGCCACAGTTTGTCTTAGCCCAATGCATAAATCAGATCTACATGTTCAAAACACAGAGAGTATTCTAGAGTCTTTTGAAGATGTACTGGTTCTGGTCATGAATTATCCATAGAGTTTAATCTAGAGCAGGCCTGTCAAACTGGCGGCCTGCAGGCTGGATACAGCCTGCCCAACCCAGGCCCAGCCCAGATCCACAAAGGCAATCATGATACATCACGATATGAATGGGTTTGGACCCTTGGTCTGGTGGTTAAGGCACCAGACTAGAAAGGAAACCATGAGTTCAAGTCCTTCCTTAGTCATGAAAGCCATCTGGGTGAACTTGGCCCAGTCACTCTCTCTCAACCCAACTTATCTCACAGGATTGTTATTGTGGAAAAAATAGGAGGAGGATTAGATATATTTCCCCCTTGAGTTATTTGTAAAAAATAATAAAGGCAGGATAAAAAATTTAATAAATAAATAAATAAATGGAAATAGTTTGGAGGTAACAGGAAACTGTGCTCTTGGCACAAGGCATAATAAACCTCAGGCTCACATATTCCCTTTTCTGCATATTCTACTTTTGCTATACTAAAGATTTAAAAAAAAATAACCCTTCCCTCTTTCAGCCATAAACTAGCCACAGTTCTACAGCATCCAAACTGGGAAATCTAAGTCACTCAATATCAAAGTTTATGAGCTTCAATTCTTCATCAGAATTTAAGCTAAAAGGGTTTGAACGTATCAGTAAACAGTGGCTAGCTAAATAAAAAATGGCAGTTTTCCCTCATCCTTCTTATATAAAAGAAGGGAAATGATGAATTAGAAATTTGCCAAACAAGCTTTTTTTTTTCTTAAAAGGCCACAGCCTCTGAAATAGAGATCTACCTAGAGCAAACATATTTGGATCCCATTCAACAAACTAAAACAACAGTACAGTTGTTGCTTAGTGATCTCAAATTCTTTTTCTATTTCTGACATTTGCTGAACTTGTGTAGTCACAAGAGCATTTGTTCCCAGGACTTTCTCTTGTTCCATGCCAAGACTTAGAGGCTGTTTCTGAAATCAGGACCAATAATGTATATGGTCATCTATAACAATGTATAAAATTATTCCCGTTACTATTTGGTTTCCCTTGAGCTCTTTGCCTCTTTCTCAGTTAAATTTTCCATCAACTTATATGGTAATAACATGTAACGTAATGTAAACAGCCATATGCAGACAGTGAAATAGTAGCCTCAGGCAAAATAAATGGTCTAAAATTAAATGTAAGGGGAAGCATTCCCAGAGAACTAAGACAAAAAAAAAATATCAGCATCAGAAAAACCAAGCATGAAACCCACATCATATTCCCTATAAATAAGATTTTAGTGTGATATTCTTATTTGTTTTCCAAAGTAAATGTATTATAATTTC